TTTGTGTCCAACCTAATGGCTCCATGCGGACAGCTATGTGGGGCATCGAGGCGAGCTCAGAACCTTCAAGCTTGCTGGCTTCCAACACACGAAACACGTTTTGTGTTTGAATTAAAATTTTAAGCAACCATTTATATTTTGTGTTTAAAAATTTAATTAAATCAACATTATTATTATAAATACAGAAATATATATATATTTCATATTTATTTTAAGATATATTTTTATCAATCATTTTAGCTTTGAACATAAAAGAGTATCAAATTCTAACGATACAATTTATATTCATGGTTATGGAATATAGATTCAATCCATAATCAATTTTATTCTAACAGAACTTGTTTTAAGTAAATAAAATAAATTTTCATTTTGCATTTAAAAGTATTTAAAAAGAAAATTTACAAAACAAATCAATCAAAAAAAAAATATATAAATTATATATAATTTAATAATTTTTTTTATTTATCTGTTATTACCATGTAAATAGTTTAATATCAAACAATCCTGTACATCAAAGGTATCTCTGGCAAGATCAAAAGTTATGACATCAGTATGCAGTTGTTAATGTGCAGCGAGAGACAATACGATGCACCGAGTCTAGAGTGCCTTATTACTGCATAGAGAGAGAGCTGCGGTTCTGAATGCACTTGAAGCCCCTGAAACACACAGGTATAGAGGATCTCTCACCTGCCCCCTGAAAATCCAATTAGTTTCGGTGGCGAGCCACACAGAACGAGAGCAGAGGTGCAGCCCTAGCTCGCTTGCTCTCGCAAACAAGTGCACTCGGCCGAGATGCATATTTAATTTGTCTAATTGTGAGTTGGAACGTGTGGATGTCTCTGCAGGGGAGCTTTTTCAACCCGAGACCAACGTAACTGGGCCAGTGTGACGAAATTATTCATGCAACTCGCGCGTTTCCAGGGGAAGCTTTTTGCAAGATTCTTCTCGTCAAGAAAAGGAAAAGGGGGATTTTAGTCGTATTCTCTTTCCAATTTAAAACTTTGCCCATTTGGCTGATTGCAAATGCACACCTCTCTCAAAGTGAAACATTTTCTATTATCAGAAATTTCAGAGGAGTAATTTGAAAAAAAAAAAAAAAAAAAAAAAAAAAAAAAAAGAGAGAGAGAGAGAATTAACTCTTTCTGGCTAGAATAAAATGCGATTTCAATCCTTTCGAACAAACTTAACGCAGAATGACGGCGATTTGAAAAAAAGGGATGTGGGCCTAAATAAATAAAAAGCACACACACATGCTCCCGGACACTATCTGTGTGTAACAAATGGCCAGCAAAGAGGAATTATTCGCACACTATCAGCCAAGCTCTAATTTGCTTTGCATGCACGGCGCGAATTAAAAGCGGCCGGCAAAAAACTGGCAAGATAACTCACCCCTGGGCGGCGTTTAGTTAGCATGCGGCCGATGAGCTCGCCGCCGCTTTTTCCTCTCTCGCCGAAAGCCCTCTGCTTATTTTGTGCATGCTCGCCCTTTTTGCCACGAAAAAAGGCACGAATGCTGCTCTCTTTTATTTTGTTTTTATCAGTGCGCGCCACTTTTTTTTGAATAATGGCTGCAAACACACTGCAAGCCAAATATTAGCAGGCTGGCCCTCGCACGTCCTTGCCCATACACACTGGGCATTCGACTTTGCGCTCTCGCTAATTGCCTCTCTACCTGCCTCTGCTATGTAAATGTAATACGTGAAAAACCGCACTCGCCAGATGACATGCTCTCTCGTTCTGGCCGCCAGGTAAAAACTGGTGAGAATTGAAATGCAGTGGGTGCAATACATTCTCAAATATTCTCCTTTTACAAAAAAACAACAAAATACAATTTTTAGCAAATCACATTTAAATTAAAATCGATAATCAATTTCACTGTGGATGAGTTTTATAAATTGTTTTATTTTGAAAACGGAAAATTGAAATTAAAAGATTGGCATACATTAATGAAATATTTAATAATATACCAATAAATTAAATGTGTAGTAAAATTCCATTCAATTTATTTATTTTCTACGAACAGGTCATAATGGATTATTTGGAAGTCAAAATATCAAATGTAGAATTAATTTAATTTTTGTTGTGTAGGTCCAGTCTACTTGATATTTTCTTTTTTTTATGCCCGAAGCACTGCCATCTTTTTAATTTTTCCATTTGCATGCAATAATAATTTGTTCTAAATGTATTTAATTCTAAGAAAAAATATTAGAGGACAATTAAAATAAATTTTTCAATGCATTGATAATTCCATTCCATGGAAATATTATATTTTTAAATTATAAAAAGTTTAAAAAAATTAATATTAGTATAATATCTTCCTAGAAGAACATTTTATAGTTTTGGTACTACATTAAAGGATAAATAGAATAACAATAAAAAAAAAAGTATTTACTCAAATAATAATACAATAATTGAAATATTAATTAAAATGTAGTAAATATATCAATCAATATTAAAATTTGATTAATCTTTGCTTCCTAATTGAACTCTTTTGAAAATTTTTTAAAAAGTGTGGTCGAAATTATCTTAAAATTATTATTATTTTTTTTTTTTTTTTTTTTTTTTTATAAAAAAACTCTGATACAAGATACAAAATTACTTCTTTTTGCAAAGCTGATTCCAAATTGTTCATCGTAAAAAAAAAGTAAAAACGCCTTTCTCTTGTAGAGGCGTTCAGCCAGGTGAAAAAGTGATTCTACACACCCGCCCTGCCGGCCATCGCGGCGCCAAATTAAATTTCGCCAGCAGCCCTGGAGGTGACGTTTTCGGAAAGAGCCAACTTTTAACGGGGACAAAAAAAGTAGAGCGCGCACCGGCGGGGATTGGAGCATGCGAGAAAGAGAGGTGGTTGGGGGGTTGAAAATCCGGCGACCTGTGCCCTCGTCAGTGGCACTCGCACGGACGACGAGAGACCCGGCTGCATACATTACAGGCGCACCTGGCCGGCGATAAGCGAAATGACGCGCGCACTGTCTGTTTCATTGCCGTCAGAAACATACACACACGCGGAGAGCCTAGTTTGTTGTTTAATCCCAGCAGGCTGAGTTTAGTTTTGTCAATGGTGAGCTCCGTACTGCGGCACAGCATCAATATAATAATTACACCTGCTGATGCCGGGGCATTAATAGCAGCCGAGCCGGCGGCCAGGTGAAATCCTCCGAGGAGAGATTAAAAAGGGAAAAAGTTGGTCGGCCGGTGGTGGTAATCCATTGCTCTGCACACACACACACACGCACCAAGGTAATTGGATTGCGAGGCGTCTGCACAGTGGCTCCGGCTGCGGGAAGCCGGGTGCACTAGGACCGGCAACGATCGATGAGATTCGCATCCCTCTCTCTCAACCCCTTTCCCTCGGCTGCACTCGCGCGCGCTTGTTTACTTTTTAATCTGCTGCTGCTGAGAAAGGATTGCACCACACTCGCGTGTGCCGCGAATTAATTAGAAAAGCAGCCGTATTTATAATATGCTCTTTTCGCGGAGAGTAAATTCTCGCGTCGTAATTCTTTCTCCTTTTGGTTTTGTGTCCTTTAATGAATATGCGCGCTTCATTTGGCTAACTGGTGGTTAATAATTGAGTACGCACGCCGGGCTCTACGGGTTTGATGTTGGTAACGAGAGGGAGAGGTGAAATTATATACGCAAAGTCTCGGCTAAAGTGGGCCAAAGTTGCGACGAGTCGCACTAGTGCCCTTGTTACAACGTTTTCCGACGCAACCCTCAACATGACGACGGCGAGATTCTGGAAACTCTTGGGACACTCGCAAAGCCTTGGTGCGATAAGCGTTTAATTGGCATTTAGGCTCATGGCTAATAACAAGTAGATGCAACTTTGTAGCTATGGATACCTAAATGTGAAACACAATCCTTTCACTAGTCAATGGCATTTGGCATTTAAGCTATCAATAATTTGCATAATGCAATTATGAATATAAAAAAAACACATTGATTCAACCACGGTCATGAAATTCTTTTGCAAAAAAATTTACAGTGATACAAAAGATACTCATTGGCTGATATCAGCATGTAATGTAACTGAATCAAAATTTATTTTAATTTTTTCAAATGCAGGAAAAGAATAATGACAGGGATGTACCCACAGAACAAAATTAATCAGGTTTTTGATAAAGTTTTCTTCTTCATTTTTAAAAAATTGCAACATTTTTTTTAATTTCAAAAATAATAATTACTTAATTACATTATATGCTTAACTTTAAAATAAACTATTTTTAAGTAATAAGCCATGATACATAAATATTTAAAACAAAAATTATTGAAACAATTTAATAAAATTATAATATTTTGAAAAATTTAAGCCTAATTAATACACCTAATAAATTATAGCTTAAGTTTTGATTATAACTACACCAAAGATATAAGATGTATTGTATTTTTTACCACTTTTTATTTGTATAAAGAGGCAACTTCGGGCTTATTTGAACTTAAGCAAGCGAAAATATAAATTCCCGTTTTTATGAACCAATGAGCAGGAAAAATTAATGAGTTAGACAACGCGCGCGGCGGAAGGGAAAAAGCAGATGATGACGAAAAATCACAGACGTGTTTCGCATTTGCAATTTGGTTGGAGCCGCCAGAGAGTGCGGGCGCGCCTTTTATTATTTCAAAAACGTGTAGTGTACACACTGCAGAGCGGCGCGCGTACCCCTGCGGAAAAAAAGACGTCCCGGTGACGTCCTGTTGACGTCTCGGCTTTGTCCCGTGGACGTCTTTTGAGGACGTCTGAAGGACGTCACGGGGACATCCTTAATGCTTTGTCTAGCGGACAAGACAATTCGGACATGTCATCCCTTTGGACAAGCTGGACATTTTTGAAATTAAATTGAATGGGCTGTAAAATTTTAAATATAAAACTAAATGTCCCATATTAAAAGCCTGCTGAGATTTAAGATTCACGGTCATACTAGGTGAGCCCATTAAGTCCAGCAGTCCTTCTAAATAGCCAAAAAGGTAGCCCAATCTGCAAAAAAAACTAACAAGTTAAAGTTCAATTAACATTTTATTGGTAATCCTTGATCAATTATTAATTCATATCAGATATGATGTGTTTCAAGTATAAATCTCTCGGATCTCATCGATGAGGAGAGAAACGAGCATCCATGGGCAGCCTACATAGAGAACTGCAACATAGGAAAATTGGTTCTCTTCAATTAAAAAATTTCATTTCAAGGAGAATTTGAAAGGAACTACAAGATAATTTGAAAACTTTCATCAAAAGAAATTTTTAATATAATTAAAAAAAAATTGAAATTTATTTTGCGAATTAAAAAAAAAATGATGGTTAAATAAAGTCAAAATAATTTAAGTAATACCGGCCTGTTTAGAATTATAATCTCAGCATATACATTTTAAATAATTTAATAAATTAGCTCACTTTTAAATATCCGAGTCGCTGATATCAAGCTCGTCCTCAACACCTCCAGATCCTCCAGTCAGTGGTACATACTCCTCATCCGACAACTCTAAATCTTCATCACTTGGATCGAGCTCCCTAAAAATGTTTAAAATTCGAGATATTTGAAATGCACAAAATATGAAATAAGTCACCTGTAAAGTGGCTTTCTTGATATAACCAAAACTCTTTTTGGTCTTTCATTTGTAGCACTCATCCTAGAGAATGAAAAAAAGATGAATTATAAAAACCTCATATATAAATGGAACCAGACGTTAAATAGAACATTGTTTACAAGCAGGAATCTTCTATTCACCTTGGAAAGTTTTTAATTTTAAAGAAAAATGTATTTGTCCTTACCACAAATTGGCAGGTTCCTCAGATCCATCAACGGACTTCCTTTTCAGTGTAGTTTTGGGCACTTCAGGAGGTGGGGTAGGGCTTTGCTCGGGAGTCGGACAGGAAGAGTCATCGGGGTTGGTTGACAAAGTATTGTTGATGCTCATCTTTACAGCCTTTTTCTTAAATTGTGTTTCAGTTCTAGAAAATTTCAATATAAATGAGGGATTTATCAATTATAAAATGATTTAATACCTAAACTTTGAGCCCTTCTTTCTCAAGAATTCACCAACTACTAACAATACACTATCATCGGATACTTTCGAATCAAATAAATCTTTATGGCATTTTCTGCAAGCGTCTAAGGAGAACAACAAAAAATCACAATAAAAAAATTAATGAAGAGAAATTTAAAAACACTATACTTCCAAGGGACTGAATAAACTTGGTGTGCTTCATGCCCACTTTGCCAGGTCTAGTTCCACACTTTGTGGCATCCATAGTAAGAGAACTGGCAAAGAGCCAGGGCATTATTTTCGCATCCAAAGCACTTTTTAGACGATCGACGTCATTGCTGCCAGACACTCCCATACTTTTCATTTTCTCTACCACAATGTCTTCCTGTAATGGAAATCAAAGTTACAAATTAAATGGTAACGGCCGGTATTAAATTATACAAAACTCACAAATTTGACTCTGATTTTCATGTCACTTAACAATTTTTCAAGATTTTGGAAGGATTCTGTTGTGGCCAGAGGAAGTTCAATGCCTAAGCTGGCCAGGTCCTCCATGGTCTTGTTGTTGCACTCTTTAACTTTGAGAGTACCAGTGGGATTTCTTCTCTGAACAAATTCTTCCAGCCTAGCTAGAGACTCAATCACAATCTTCTGAAAAACTGTGGAAACAAAAATATAAATAATCAGCAGACCATTTTTTTTTTTTACCACACCGTACAATAATTGTTTAATAGACAGGAAAGTTTGGAAAACAAAAGTTATTCAAATATAATTCAGACAAACCTTCTGTTGGCAGAGGAAATTCGTGTCTGGGCTTTTCTTTTACGACTCTATCTGCTGAGGCAACAAAAAAACGCCCACTGGGCGATGACACAGAGGGAAGATGCTGGACACTTTTCTTTGGCGGAGTTGTCACTTTCTTTGTAATGCTAGTTGCATTGCCATCACATTTTACAGGGCCTGCTCCTGATTTTACCAGAGATCCAGATTTGTTGGAATTCTCTAATTGCACTGCAATTATTAAGTTCTTATAATTATAGACCAACACACTAAAGTATAATAAGTATAGTAAGTAAGTAAGTGTAATCATAATCTGTACCTTGCAATCTTCTCTTGACTTTCTCCATCAGTTCAAAATTGTGGCAATTATTATCCACCGTACTTCTACGTTGTTTAGTGATAATTACTGGAGAACTTTCGTTGTCTGAAATGTATAAAATGTAGAGCAGGGCAAAAATTCTATGAAAATATAAAAACAAGTAGAAGTATTTGACTAGAGGTGGGGAAAAAATTGTTAGTATCAAAGATTTTTTAACCTTTTTCAGTAGACGAAGGAGCAGACAATTGAATAGGACTGGGCAAATTGCCATGGGAATCAGCAAGTCTGACCAGGGGAAAATCAGGAGACTTTGGCAATGGAGGACTAGGCAAGGGTTCCCTTGAAGGAGGAATCGGCAGGGCATCTCTACGAGACTTTGCACCAGAAGATGACAGCCTAGGCACTTTTGCTGGTGAAAATACTTTGGCAGGTTTTTTTGTTCTGGCTCCCCTTCCTTTTTGCTCTGCATCACTTGCGCCAAAATCAGCGTCTGATACTGCCAATTTCTTGGCCAACAAGTCTTTTACTTTGGCCTTAGCTTGAGGCAGTAGTACTTTGGCCTGCTCAAAAGTCACTGAAATTAAAGTATTAAATTAGAGGAAAAAAATTGAAGTGTGATAAAAATTTAATATGGTTACTTACGTTCGCTTTTGATCACTTTCCCTTCATAGCTTTCCCAAGGCTGTTTTGGAATTGGGTGTCTCTTGATCATTGATTGGAACTCAAAATCTGATTTGCAGCTGTCGGGCCATTTGCACATAGGTCTCGAGTTTGTGGGAAAGGACAAGTATGTAGATGGAGCAATTACTACATTTTTGAAGTCCCTGAAGAGAAACAAACTGTATGCTTCGTCGTCCAGCATTTCCTCTTCAACTTCCATGATCTTCTCCCTCCTCCTGCAACCAAATAGCAGAAAATTTACAAATTAATTTTTCACATATAAAAATTAACAAGAAATGTTCATAATAAAATAAGAGACTATATCCTTAAAAATAGATGTACCATGCCAATAATAAAATTTAATCTTGGAATGAAATCATTTAAAATGAATACTGTAGAAATGAGGTTATCAAGAGTTAATAAACTATCAACTTTTTACTGCCCGAGAACATTAATAATAATAATAATAAAAATGACTTGAAAGTTTTAAGCAAAAGAAAGCACTCATTAAGTTACTAAGAGAGAGTGAAGGATATGGTTTAAATTTTTAAGTATGTATTTAAGGAAAAATTAAGTTTTATGTAGTATGTTTATTATCAAGTTCTACAAAAGCAATGCAAGATTGGAAAAATAGCGAAGGAGCCATCTTTCATCGGTAAACGCATACATTTTGCTTTCACTGCATTCAGTTTATACACGTAACATCGGCCACTTTCATTTGAAGCTTTTACAATTGAAAATTCGGACGATTTGAGGGGAACTGTGTATAGATCGTCAAGTTTTTTGAACTTGTAACCCACAAAAGCTTGGGCAAGTGGATCTTCTTTTAAATGCCCAAGTTGTTTAACATTGACTACACTACCGTCATGAAGCATCACACAATTATTTGCTCCAGTTGTTGTAATAGTACAATCAAAGTATTTTACAGATTTGAATAGAGGGGCTGCAAGTGCATCCACGATGGGCACAGCCCCAACATGCACATTCCCAAACACAATATCTTTTGGTTTCTCTTTCCGAACATTCGAATAGACAGCTTTCCTTTCCCCCATCCTCTTAACAAATTGCTGTAGTGACTGGCCCCTGTCTTTAACATAGAGTCGAAGATCTCTGTATTTATTTTCGAATCGGAAAGCGCTGTATTGATCAAGGGGGCCAAATCTTTTAACATCCTCTCCAACATGCAGTACAGCATGCACGTTAGCGGAGACGGAATAGGTTCCATGAAAGGAAGGAAATTCCCTTACAAAATGGTTTAAGAGATCTTGAGCATAATCAATCCATCGCTCCTCTGTCTTTGCTCCACACATGATCAGGGTGGCTACATGGAAACTCATGAAGTGCAAAAGTTTAGGCTCGTAATTCCGTTCTAATTCCAAGAAAACAACCGGACCAAGGTAGAGCAAAATTAGTCTTAGTTCAGTGGCTTTATAATTTTTGAAATCCTTCAAAGCCCTCGGCTTCCTTGCAAATTCAACGGGAATGCAATCTTTCATTTTAACAAGTTGCTCACTAACTTTTTCTATGATATAACCTGGAACTTTTCTCTTAGATGCAAAAAAGAACGAATTTAAAATTTTTCGCATAATCCCAATTAATTTCATGTGCATGTAGTCATAGATTGTGTCTTTAACAATATTAAAGTTTGGTACTTTGATCAAACTAGTTAATCCAATGTGATGAGCAGGATCAGATTGGTTAACAAAATCATCAAGTGTTCGCAGCCTGCCAATGCAGGTTGGGAAATGCGTTACATTATTGTATGTTCCTGTAGCTTCACATCTGAAGCAACTGTGTAGGCCATTGTGACCTAGTACTTGGCAAATATAAGCCTTAGCAGGCATATCAGCGACCAAAGTATGAAGGCGGACAGTTTTATGATGGCCCTCAAGAGTAAGCCCATCCGTGCACAATTTTGACATTTCAGAAACAAAGTCATTTAAGAAAAGTACTACGTCATCAGGTTTTTTATCACCTTCATACAGGCCCACAATAAATACTTTGCTGCCTGGAAAATCAGGTAGAAAGCCAGCAATACATTGAAACTCATCAGAAGTGCTGTTTACAACTTTCACTCCATCAAAGCCAACAATCAACTTGATGTCATCAACTTCATCAGGGCTGACATAAGACATTGCTATCTGATCCCTAATTCCAGATTCAATTCCGAAGTGGTAATATTTTCCTGGAGGTACAATACGAAGGGGAACTTTGCCAACTGGAGTTTTAACGAGGGTCATTCTCGATTTTGGCAATTTTGCCAGTGAAGGCTGTTTTCTGAAGATCGATAACATTTTTCTCGTGCACTCGACTGAAATGTGATGATCAACAACAAGTCTGGCTAGTTCAATTTTTGTTTCTTGGAGAATTTTATCTTCATTGTCTTGGTCAAAGTTAATATTTCCGCTCATGTCAGAAAAAGTTTCAGAATGAATTGATATGCTGTCAATTTCCGCGTCAAAATCAACACTTGTCTCAGCGTCGCTCAAGTTGTCGATTTGCTCTGAACTATTTGGATCATCAAAACTCTCTGTTTCTGAATCTTGAGCAGGAGGCTCAACATGAATTGTCGGCTCTTCGTCATAGGAATGTTGACTTTGAGAACCACCTCTATCTGACACAACTATTGAAAGACCAACATTGAGTTATTTTTATAATTTAATTCTTGAAAATGTTTGTTATGTTTACTTTGCTCATCATCTTCATTTTCAGTTTCTTGCTGAAGTGAAGCCTCTGCATTTAAAATCATGTTTCCAATCCTTTCATTAAGTCGACGCCTCTTCTGACTCTCGGATAATTCAGAGAAGTCCTTTTTGCCCCTTCTCTTTACATTCATCTTGAGTATGAAAATTAAAATGACAACGATTGTAGTTAATAAATAGGTTTTATAAATTTTTTAATTCAATATTTATGTTATTTTAATTCCTTCCTTAACTTTTCAAATTAGTTTAATATGAACGAGTGCTTTCCATAAAAAAGAAAGAATTATTTACGAACATTTCAGAGAAGGTAAATAATAATCAGTTAATAATAATAATAATAATAATTAAATCACATAATATTTACTGACTATACACTAATAAGGTAAGAGAAGACCTACTCACTTTTTTCTGTCTTCTGTCGCAGAGGTACCAGAGTTCCAAAAGTCACCAGGACCGATTTTGCCAAACTGGAAAAAAAATTAATTATTTTTCATTAAGTTGAAATTCATTCTTAAAGTACAGAGATTTATCATTTTAAATATTGTTAGTAGCAGGATGTAGAAAGGTATAAAGCAAATAACATAGAGCTTTTTCGTCCGAGGTCGCCTGAGACCGCTCGAAGTCGAAGGACACCTCCGAGGCCGCACGAGGTCGTTCGAGACCGAAGGGCAACTGTTGCCTCCTAATACTTGCCATTTAAAAATATGAGGTCGTTCGAAACCGTCCGAGGTTGTTCGAGCCCCTGGTCTCGAACGACCTCATATTTTTAAATGGCAAGTATTAAGAGGCAATAGTTGCCCTTCGGTCTCGAACGACTTTGAGTACGAAGTCCGACGGTCTCGTTTTTGACAAGGGCGTATCGGTGCGTCTCAATTGGGCTTGGTCTTTGAAATTTTGTAGCTTTATCATCATAGGGTTTGTGTTCCGCATCGGTCTCGGTGGTCTCGACTGGTCTCAGCCGCCTCGGTGGGTCTCGGGTCCAAATAAGCTAATTTTTTTAAATTATGAAATAGTTTCCTTTGGAAAACATTTTAATCTCAATTTTTTATTTATTATAAAGTCAATTATACACATCTATTTTAATAGTAAATTTAGTTTAATGTTTATGTAGTGTGAACTCATTTAATTTTTCTTACATTCATAAATTTAATTAAAACTTTTTTAATTTTCTTTTCCAATAAAATCGTCTGAATTGAAATTTAATTACAAAATTTTTTATAAGTTTTAATTTTATTAAATTCGTATTAACTAATATTAACTTACTTATGAAAATAGATATAATTAAATTCGGTTCATGTAACGTTGACACATAATCAAAACAGGTTCAAAATTAATTTGTCCTCTTTGATTTTGTTTCTAATTGATTAATTTTGGCGACTATTTATTACCTAAAAAAAAATCATGGAATAAAAAACGTCACGTGCTCTGATTTTTTAAACTTCATTTTCAATAATTACTAAACTGATATTATTATTATTATTACTCTTTATTGAATTAAAAAGATAGGTGTATTGAAGTAAAATTTATATGTATCTTCTCCTCTAAGTCGAATTTTCACTTATGCCTATGGTTCAGATTATTTTTTTAAGACAACTTGTATAATATTGATTTAATAATTGAGAATGAAGTAAAACAAATCAGAGAGGCATATTTTTATTCCATGATTTGTTAGTAAATACTGTTAAATAATAAATAGAAGTCGCCAAAATTAATCAATTTCATTGGAAACTAAATCAAAGACAAATTAATTTTGAATCTGTTATTAATAAGTGTCAATGTTTCATGAACAAAATTAAATTATATCTTTTAAATTAAACATACATTTATATTTTATTTAATCAAAGGTTAATTAAGTTAAAATTAGTGGAAAATAAATTAAATTTATTTTAATAAAATTTATGAATGTAAGCAAAATTAAATAAGTTCACATTAAATATACATTTAACTGAAACTTTTAATACAATAGATGTGTAAACAATTGACTTATTGATAATAAATTAAAACTGAAATGTTTTTTCATAATTAAAAAAAAATTAGCTTGGACCCGAGACCCCACTGAGGCCGGCCGAGACCCACACCGAGAGCGGTCGAGACCGATGGCGAAGAAGGCCCTTTGATGTTAAAGTTACAAAATATTTGAGACCGTTCGAGACACACCGATGGCACCGTTACAAATGGTCTTCACAGGCCTCGACGGGTCTCACGTCACGTCAGGCAAGTGGACTTCAAATTTTTAGAGCATAAATAATCGAGTTAAAAGCAGGGAGACGGTTTGGAGGACCCCTGCTTAGTATAATTTATAAAAATGAAACAAATAACAATTTATACAACTTTTGCAATTTAGTGGTAATAATTTGGTTCTTCCCCAAAATGGCTACCGTTGAACACAGGTGCGAGCCAAAAAGTCTTAGTTTCAAAAGTTTTAACATCTAGTGCTTTAACATCTTAATTCTCACAAAGAAACGCAATTGAAATATTTAGAATCATCATTGACATAATTACCTTAATTAGCGGCTGATCACCGGCGCATTCCCAGGTCTCTGGAAGCCGTGTTGACGGCCCGCGTGGCTGACGCAATCTTCCCCGGTGGCGAATGCAAAATCGCTGCTCTCAATGACGCCTGTCGCGGTTAGGCGAGAGCAGACTTCTGGTTGCTCATATATGATACGAGTCCCGTTTAAAATTATCGAACCGCTCGCTGGCAAAATTTCACGGAAAGTTTTTAGAAAAAGAGCGACAAAAAACCCCGCGTTTATCGTCACCTCACACTTCGCCAACTTCAACTGATTTTGTCTAACTTGAGGTGCGAGCTCGAGTTTGCGCGCATGCGTATTCGCTATACATATGTATGCTCCTTCTGCCATCTATATGCTGTTGGATATACTATATATATCAACATGACGAGATATGCAGAAAATGATTGTAGGAGAGAATTGTTAATTAATGTGTTTAAAAATATTTTATTGTATTTTTTTTAACCTTAATTTAAATCAATTTTGACCTGAGATATTCAGATTTTTCTTCCTTGATTTCAATCAAAATTACTACTTTTTAGTTTTCGTTTTTAATTTCTTTTTCATAAATGATTAAAGATATACGGAAAAATACAAAGTTGAGTACCAAATGAAATTTGGTTGTATTTTATTTTAATTATTCTAATATTTTTCTTTCTTCTAGCCGTACACCGCAGAAAATACAATACAAAATAATTTTTTCGGGGTTTCTGTTATTAAAAATTACGCGGCATCATCTAATAAGATTATTTAATTATTTTAATTCAAAAAGCTAGACGCAATATTTATTGATAAATTTATATACCAAGCAATAATCCTTTAATTATTTAATAAATAAAATAGCGAGAGCCGCGCAGAGGGCAGAACAGACTTTTTGATTATAAATATTTTTGTTTGGTATTACTCTAGGGTGAATTTTTCATCAAAAATTAATTAATTTGTGTTTTTTGCTTAAAAGAAAAAGTTTGACGTACATAAATAAACTTGTCCTAAATATGTCCGCGATTGTCGCAAATCAGACACAGAACTGCCAACTTGTCTACAAAAAGACATCCCAAGGACGTCCACAGGATGTCTTTTAAGAAAATTCCAAAATTGATCTGCGGCAAAAAAAAATTATTCAATAAGTGTCTCTAATGTCCGGAATCACTTCAAAAACTTTTAATTCAAAAATTTACGCTAGTCAAAAATATGTGTCCTAAACTTGTCCGGGACGTCTTTTTTTCCGCAGGGACATGAGAGACCTATTTTGTGCGGAATTTATCGCGCAGAGCCCGCCGCGCGCCGCTTTCGCTCTCTTTTTGTAGTATGTACTTGTTAAATAAACTTGGTTTTTTAGCGGCGACGCACAACACGCCCACTGCGAGAAATAAATTAATCGCCACCCTGTATAAAAATACAACAAAACACCAACAGAGTTGTGCGACGTGCGAAACATGGACAAATATTTTTGTGAAATGAAAATCGTTCCCCGTGATCATAAACGCTGTCACTGCCGGGCGAGGCCCTTATAATCTCGGGATTGAACCACTGAAATGAATTATTGGAGCCGTCACAGCACTTTTCAGCACCACTATTGGAGTTGATTTGTATAATTGGAACGTGCATATTTTCTTAAATGAGTGACGGTTTTATTCCTAAAAATGCTAGGAAAATTAAAAAAAAAAAAACATTTTCACTGGTGGTTTACTTTCAAACCATTCTTATTTATTTTTTTGGTATAATAGAGTTAAAAAAAATTGTATTCACAGTCAAATTTCAAAGCTTCCAATGCTTTTTATTAATTTTAATTTCAGTTTATAATTTGGGCTAATCAACAGCATCATCCAAATCAAAGAAGAACAAATTTTGTTTTAAAAAGTTTTCTCCTTTCTTATTCGCTTTTCACGTAAAAATTATTCCTAAAGTATTTTTGCGTGTTATTTTTCCAACGCAATCCGGGCCCAAATATTTTTTACCTATTATACCTGTCAATAAGAAAATCGTGAAAAAACATTTCTAAACATTTTTCTCCGAATAGATTACTCTTGGAAGACTTGGCGAATATTAGACTGGTGCGTACGTCTCTTTGTTTTGTGTTATTTTTTCCTTTCACTTCAAGTGTGCTGATGAGGAATGGGAAAAGCAAAGAGCGGGCAATCACAGAGGGAAAGAGGGATCGTCGTTCATAGCGGGTGAAGAATCACTTTGCACTTGTCTGCTGAAAGCAAACTTTGTTGCGCAAAAAGGTCTCGGCCGTTGAGTTCAGTTTTTGACCCCGGAGGAGCGGAAGACGGACCGGCGGCGGGCGGGCGGGGACCAAGTTGCTGACGTGCTGGAAAAGTGCGTGCATTTATCTACCTCGGCCGGCGGCGGGTCAAGATAACAAGAATTATTTTAACAGCTGGTCATTCGGCCTGATGCGTTATTTGCCGTGTTATTGCCCCGGATGTATGATTTGATCTCGGGCCGCGCTCGTTTCGCTGCCGTATTATTTCATTTCTCCTTCATTTGATTTCCTCGTTCATCATTGACCAGGGGTGCGTCACTTGAGTTTATCCCTGACACGTCCATCGCCTGCGGAATCTGCACCTGCTTTCCTTCCCAGACGATCCCTTTTGAGATATGCAAGATTTGTAGAGTGGTCTGTCTGAAGATGAACGTTTTCGCTGGACCGACGATTGACTGCAAAATCCACTCGGCCCGACGCAATTTCCACGACCCGATGTGTAGCAGACGGATTATGACTGCTGCTGTGTTCACGTCCAGGATGTTCTCTTTTTTTCTCTTCGTTGACGGCGGGGCATTTATTTGTCGGCCTAGTTTTCTCTTTCGCAGTATGTGTCTGAGAGCAAATGATGTAAAGGAAGTGCAAAGCACAAAGTGGAACGACGGTTCGTTGATCGAGAACGAGTCATCTAAAATTAGACATCTGCGTAGACACATTATGAAAAGAGTCGTCGCGGACCGCAGGAGGTCTGACGTTGGTTGTTGGTTGAATTACGCACATTGAGGAATAAAAATGTTGACGTTACAATTTATGATGTGACACGACGCTTTTATTCACAGTCATTCATAAAAAATCCTAGCTCAAGACATTCAGAAAAACACAATCATGCGATGTTTGAACAGAAGCAAACTCGTGTTGACTTTCTTGGCCTACAATTACAAATTAATTTTTAATAGAGGATATATTATAAATATGGTAAATTTAAATTGAATGGTAACACTCGAGGTGGATTTCATGTAAAATTTAAACTGGGCGAACCTCGTTGCAAAAAAAAAATAAAAAAAAAATAAGAACAACTGACCCACAAATGGCGACCTGCGGTCTGCTGATACTTTAAAAAAACCTAGAGCTTTGTCGTGTCCGAACAAAAGCTAAGTAGCAGGGATTCATAAAAAAAATTATAAACAAAATGGGGAGAATTTGATCCTCAATCAAAAAAATTTGTAGGACTCCTTTGCTTAATTAATTTCTGCAAATTTTTTTTATTAAAGATAAAATTCTCCCCATTTTATTTTTAATTGTGTATGAATTCCTTCCACTTAGTTTTAGTTCGGACACGACAAAGCCGGTTAGTCATGGTTAGTTAATTTGTAATTTTGCATTCACATTGATCATTCATGATAAATTAGTAGATTACTAGAGTTGATTTCTCTCACAATCAGAAGTAAAACAACTATAATCATGGTTTTTTTTTTTTTTTAAATATTTTATTTAAATTTAAATCAAATTTATAAAATTGGGACCCTCGTGTCAAATAGTTGTTTGATGTATGAACTTGTAGCACGTGGGATATTTTTTTTATTGTCGTGAAATTACTTAGCTAAAGCATCCATTCATTAAGAGAAAATTCCCTCTCACAATTCCAGCTACTTTAGATCTGTTTCTGGTCCAAATCCCTTGCTAACTAGATCGTGCTCGTTGCTAATAACCGTAATTATGGACACTAATTGCGCTATGCATCATCAAAGTTGAAGCTGCCGTGGCCCGAATTCCAGCAGAAAAGTATAAGTTTGCCCGGCAGTGTCGAGAGTCTTGGCGAAAAGTTAACTTTTTTCGCCTCGCACACGACAGCAAAGTTCCACTTTGGAGTGCAAAAAGAGTGTGTCATTATCTCATTAGCGCGCGCCGTGACAAAGCTCCGCGGCAGCAACCTCGCTTTCTTTCTTTCTTGGTGCTCTTTAGTATTTTAATAAATCCTAATGAAATAAATGGAGAGAGTCGCCCCGCAAGCGCAATGAGAAAGCTTTTAGCGGCAAAAACTGGCTGCGTTTTTTTTTCAACACTCAAACAACGCGAACTCCTCTCTCGCCGTGTCACATTAGTTAATTTAAGAAAATTGTATTTAGATGTTTGTTGCGAAAAGAAGCGACGAGGCGCTCTCTACTGCGGAGGGTGTAATTAGCTCGAATCAGCAGACGACGGACAAAAAGTTGTCGGCGGCGGATACATAATTTACGACTTGCTGCGCATCAATGGAAAAAGCATTCTCCAGCACAAACATTTCCCTTTCACCCGTTCTTTATATTCCGCTCAAGGCCCAGACTCATTTGCTAATGCAACGCCGAGATTTGTGTTTTGCTTTGTGCGGATGGGTGAGTTATAAACACGCAAATACATTCTGCGGCAACCAAAGTAGTGTATTTCCAGGAGCAAACAAGGCCGAGAACAAACGACCAAACAAAAGCAGCAGATGATAGATTAATATACAAATGTTGTTATTTGAATAATGGCTGGAAAAATTCATATTTAAGCTAGCCTTAAGCGGCCATTACACATGCTGTGCACTAAAAGGACGTAGAGATTGAGTTGGAAATGAACCAGCTCGCAGCCAAGCCAGCAAGCCGCCCGGTCGCTTTTTACCCATGCAGGCAGTAAAAAATGCCGTTATTCGGGCGCAGAGACATGGAGAATCTTGTGATTATTTATTGAACCAACCAGCGAGCCTCCTTAGAGAAAGCCTCCGCCGAAACAAGGAGGAAAAAATGAAGATGGAGTGGATGAAGCAGTTTTAAAAACAAGTTTATTTCGTCAGTCGTGTTTTCTCATATTTAGCGGCGGCAAAAAGTTGCAGCGCTCTTATTTATGGCGATGTAAACACGTCATTTTGAGTTTGCTCGGTCCCGTCGGGGGCCGACTGCGTCCGGGGGTTGCAAAATGACTAGAGGTCTTCTTGCAGCACTTCACTTCAAGGAAACGCGGTCAGCATCCCGCGCGGCCTTCATGCCTGGCCGGTTGCATACTTTTTAAATTTGGCATAAATTTGAGAC